TGTACAGGCAATAAGGTATTACCCGGGCAATGGCGTAGGCCTGTCCGTGAGCCCTGCTAGTCTTTTGCAGCCGAATAATAGTAAGGACAAAAATCATGATTACCTAAGGACTCCCAGGTGCAATGGAGCCTTCGTGGCAGAAACTGTTTCATCAGTCTCCTAATTTAAGCATTGATTTGCTTCCCCTCAGCAAGCAGTAGAAACTCATCTCTTAAGAAAATGCAACCAGCACAGCCAAGAAACAGCCACTATAGATGTCATGTACGAAATCCAAACAACATTTCCTGAGTTTAGAGCGCTCAGCAGTGACACTTTTTAATCATTTTAGGAGCCCTTTGTTTTATTTCAGCAGTGTGGGGGGAAAAAACCCCAAAATACAGCAACCTGCAGAATTGAAAGTGAAACCTAATGGAACTCCCCAGCCCAGGCACCCAGTTGCCTTCCCTGCCTGCACCCCAGCTGGCACAGGCTGTCTTCCCTCCATTCACCAATGTTTCCTTTGCAAGGAAAGCTGGTAAGATCAGAAGAGCATGGAGAGCTTCTGTCCAACATTGTAGAAACAGCTGATGGGACCTGAAGGCACCAATGGTCATTGTGAAGGTCATTGTATCAGCTGCCAGGCAAAGCTCTCACTTTCTAGTTATCGTCGGCCTACAGGGTTTTTTTTGTTCTTGCGCCTAAAGCTTGGCTTCTTGTCAGCCTAGCTGAGAGAAAGGTTATTTATGTGTATTTCATTAGTAAACTATTTATATAATTTATTCAGATTTTCTCTTTAATTCCTACTTTTTTGTTCTTATCAATTTTAATTTCACCCTCTTAATGTAAAATTTCTTCTTTTTGATGATAGTGTTCACCTCTTGCTTATTAATTCCTTCATACAAAACTTCCACCAGTGTAAATGGTTTCTAATATATTCAGGTAATGCTAGGGGCTGCTCCCCGCACACCGTTTCTACTGTTAATTGTACCATATGCTCTTTTCTCTGAAACTGGAATCTGGAATGTGGACACATGTATAAGTTCATGATTTTGAGTAATTTTGCCTATCTGAGCATGTCCAATGGCTTTAAGCCTGCCATCCGTAGACTTCTGGATTTATCCTTGGTATACATAATAGCTGGCATACAGACATCTGCACATCCACTGGAAAGTGTCAGGTCTTGAAATGGTAAGAAAAAGTTGAAAACAGCTGTTTTGGTGACTTTGAGCCTCCTGGCCACTTTAAGGCAGCATCTTAAATGTTGCTGCGTAGAGAAGTGGTCCGACTCCCCTCTCCACCCTTGCTGTGTCTGCTGTGGCTGTTGTTGCGTGATTTGATGAGCAGGTGCAGCCTCACAAAGGAGCAAGTTGTCCCAGGTGAAATCCTGGGGAAATTCCAAAGGTTTTAGGGGGCCTGGAAGTCAGCTCACATGTAGGCAAAGAACAGATTTCTATACAGTGTTAATATCTCTTCTGATACAAATAGCGTGTTAAGGTCACAGAGTGGAAGGTAGAAAGAAGTGAGGGAATGTGTTTATCGCAGGCATTTGTAAATGCTTACTTGCATTTTTTATCTTCTCTGTTAATTAAAGTATGATGCTTTGTTCATCAAATAATCTAAATACTGGGAAAGGTAAAAAGAGAAGATCTTTGGAAAATAAAAATAAACAGTAACCACTAAAACAATCCTCAGAGGATGAATGCGATATAAAATCTCTTGTGTTGGAGCTCAATGTACAACAAAGCAGAATAAATCATCACTTCTAAAGTGTCTTTCACTAATAATGTGTTAGTCCTTAAAGTGCACTTTATGGACAAGGCTTTTTAAAATTTTAAGTTTACAGCTGCAAACTTAAAACGATTGCCTGATATTTAACAATGATCAACCCTCAGAATTTCTGAGTGAAGTATCTATTTCTGACAATGTTGTTGTTTTCAGAATAAAAGTGGACATTTCTTTGTTTGCACACCACTTCAAGGTAACGTCTCCATTGTGTATGTAGAGAGATCTTGAACTGAAATTCTCCACTTAAACAGATTTGAGAGTTTCTGAGCACCAAACTGGGAGGGGTGAGCTGTATCTCTGAGATGCAAGGTCATGCTAAGTACCTACAGGTGAGAAAGCTCTTTCTTTGGAAAAAGGTCAGAGTGTTGTTCTTGCCCCTCTGCTCCAGCTCCTGGGGCATCTGTCAGTCATTCACAGCGAGGTCCCCTGACTAAACACTGGCACGTCATGTTGCTCCACACCGAAGGACACAACATGGTGTCCATCATGCAGTCCCCTGGTGTGGTCAGCTCCCAGGCGGCTGGAAAGCACAGGCACAGAGTGGGATGAAAAGCAATAAAATGTGAGATGACTTTAATTATATTCCAGTTTAGTAGGAAAGGCAGGGAATTAACCATGAAAAGAAAAAAGGGGGCTTCAATGCTCGTTCCCAGGGAACAATAAAGGTGAGACTGAGCTAAGGTCTTTGCAAGAGAGAAAAAGAAGCAGAAGGAGAGTCTAGTCCCCAGGACAAGAGAGAAGTTGGAACATTCAAAGCTATAAGTTACAGAAATGAGGAACCAGCAGCTGTGATCACTTGCTTAATCTGCAGTACCACTACAGAAAGTAATAAATTGTTTTAGCTGTAAGGGTTAAATACTTTATTTGAAAATATTTCTCACAATTTACCCATGCCTTCCACAGAAATGCACACGTTAGCCTGAGAAAAACTGATGTGTCTAAGGCTTGGAAAGGAAAGAGGAACTGTGATGAGATTTGACATCCTGAAGGGCTTGTTCTCTGATCAGGGAAGAAATGAGACTTTGCATTTTAAAAGAGATTCTCAACTGAAAATTTTAATTGGACCTCACTTTTAAAGTGTTTCAAATCCTCTCTGGGTACAATGTAGTGCACACAAAAAAACCCTGTGATATTTTGATATTTGCTTATCTACGTGCTGTCCGGAAGTATGACAGAACATGGTGTAAGTTATGACTAGCTCTGCTGTTGCACTGCAGGAGATGCAGTTAGAAGAAGATTTAGAGTTCAGCATTTTGTGTCTGTCAGTAACAAACTAAGCCAAAGGAAAGGATCTGAATGTACGTCTGCAATTTATTTCTGCACAAGCTGTGGCTTGGTCTTCTGTGGGGTATTTTTCTCTCTGTCTTCTTGCTTTTGCAAGAGTGTAAGTGAAAGAAACATAGTCGTCCAGCTGCAGTAACTTCATTGGCACAATGGGTTTTATCCATGATGCTAGTATATTGAATACGGTAGGAGCTACAGGTTTCCATTAGGAATCTGCAAGTAGTATTTTTCTTCTTACATTACTATGGTTAAACACGCAAGCTATCACTGTTTGCTTTGATCATCTAAGGAGAATCCATGCTTTACCTTCTTTAACAAAGATCTTTGCTCAGAAAGATAAAATGAATGCATATAGGTTTTCCTCCTTTTAAATCCCAGAACAGTATTCTTTAGAGGTCAATTTTTTGTTGTTTAAAATGTGTTATTAAAGTATCGTTGTTCCCAGGTGACCAGGGAGGAGGGAAAGGCAAGCATGTAACACCTGGTAGAGTAAGTCTGTAAATGAATTGGAATGATTTGAAATAACAATAAGTGACAGCTGTAAAAGTAAAATTACTGATACTGAGAGAGAAAACATTACATTGCATCTATTTAAACAATTATTAATTAAACTGTCTATTTCTGCATAATGTAATATGACCATTGTTCAATTCACACAATTCATACAAGTAAGCATGCCCTTTTAAACTGGGGGCTGCTTTGTGGAGAAGAAAGGATCTCAGCTCCTGAAAAAAAAAGGTGTCTGCCAAAGTCATCCATGAATCACAGTCCTTCTGGGCCTCAGTTTCCCCCTCTGCAAAATAAGTAGAATAATCTGATTTTTTCCTCCACTGAGCTGTTATCCTTTCTGTAAAACCAGTAGAAGGATACAAAATGTTCTAATGTTCTTGGGCTTGTTGTTCTGAACATTTTCTATTTTGGATCCTTGTGCATTTTTAGACGGGAGGCAGAAGTGGGTCATTCCCTAGTGATCTTATTATGGAAGACTTTCCCTTATGTAAGGACCTCTAATTCTGCTGCTATTCTTCTCCCATATTGTGACAGGTTTAGTCAGTGCTTGTTTATCAGTATGTATTTATTTTAATATGTCACAGTGGCTTCTGCCCACAGGCTATTACCTTGAACCGTAAAAAAACTTTTATTAGTATTTCAGTAAAAAAGAAGGTCCTGTCACCAAAGATTCAGTAGTAGCACAAAACACCACAAACTCTCACCCAAGTAACCAAACCTAATTAATCAGGGTCTGCAGCTCAGCCCAGTTTGCTGTTCAACAGCAGTTTCGATATAGGGATAGAGGCAAAGATGACCTTTTTCTTCAGTGCTTAAAAAGAGAAGAAAAGAAAAGAAAATGCGTATATGCATTTGACACGAACCAATGCATACACTGCAGATTACTTTTGTTTAGGCTGGGTGTCCTTGAATCACAGAATGACTTTAATGGCCATTAGCCGCTCTTTCAGTGATTAAGTAAATGAACTCAAGAAAATGAACTGCTGGGTACATTCCCAAACACTTGTTACAGTTTATTGAAACTGATCAGTTTAAACAAGCAGTAAATTGAGATTCACTTCAACCTCTACCTATTTGGTGAATACAATTAGGGAAGACACTCCCCAGCTTGTGGAGAAGCGAAGCTGGCTTTCAGTACTGACAGGAAGTGAAAATCTGTAATGCGTCAGTGTTGGCAGGTTACATTCAGTGTCAGGAATAAAAATCTGAAAGACATGGGTGTCTTCTGGAGCTCCAGAGAGCAGCACGTACATCAGCTCAGCAAACCCTGCTGCTATGTGCTGTATGAGGAACGCGTTTTCAAGTCAGTGCCCAATGCAGTGAGAAATAAAAATTGCAGTTGTTAATGTATCTTGAACTGAAATGAAATTTGGGCCTTGGTGGAGGGAAATAAAAGACAGTCATATTTAGAAAGTAAGAAACTTATTAAGAAGCAGCCTTACCTCCATCCAGTTCTTCAGCTCCAAAATGATTCCTATAGAAGAGCATAATCTCTATCTTGTAACACTTGTAGATAGTCACTAAACAAACAAGCAGCAGCAGAATAGCACCAAGCCCACCAGCAAGCTCAACTGTGTACATCAGCTCTGCAAAGAATTACAAAAAGCAATAACAATCACATTCCAACCCAGAGAAAGATTAGCAGCAGACCTTGCACTTATGTTGAACGTTAAAATAAAATAATGAATGATGAATTATTTATGCATTTATTTCATTATAGGGCCCTTAAAGAAATACTTAATTAATATAATTTTTTTTCCTTTAATAAAATAGTTTTTCCTCTGGTATACCACCTGAATTGCTCATTTAAAAAGTAACAATTGATGGGGATGTGTGTGTGTATGAGTATGTGCGCATATATATATAAAAGACATATTTGATAACTTCCTTCCTTCTCTCTCTCTGTAGATAGATCACAGTTTGCTTTACACAGATAAATGTTGACATTCCGCTTATAATGAAAGCGGAGGTGAATGTTTCTTTTTTGGGGGACTATAAGGCAAACACAGCTTCTCCCTTATTCCACACAGAAATAAGATGAATTTCAGTTTACTGGTTAAGGTTACACTAAGGATTTGTTTATTCTTTTCAAAATAAAAACAAAACAATTAAAAAAAACCCCCAAATTTGAGAGATGTTGAGAAAAATTATCCAAGGAACCCCACAGCCCCACGACTGTTATGTGTTCATATCTTTGATACAGTTTCCCAACCATCTGCAGTTCATCTTTATTCTCCCTCTTCCCCCAGTGGGTTTGACTTATGTGTAGTCACAGCAAACCATCCTGATTTGTCTGTTCCGACATTCCCATTCAGACCGTGGTCCCCTGGTGTCTTTACTGCGCTCTGTCACCAGAGACTCAATGATGGATTGAGATTGTCGCCATGTTGCTCCATTCCTGAGGACGGGGACTCTGGTCAAATATGGCCACAACCGTCTACCGCCAGCAGTATCCTCAGCGGGGCCACTTATCAGTGCACAAGTATTATGTCATCATGGACTTTCACCTTCCCCAGTCTTAACTGTTGCATCTATTTTGTTGTTAGTTTTCATTTGTTTATTGACTGAAAACTGGCAATGTTAAAAAAGGAGGGTGGGAGGAGCAAAAGCATTACTAGCAATATTGCAATTTGAAATGAGTAATAAATTGCATATTGTAAGACCACCTATACTTTTCCAATATCATTCAGTTTTCAGGAATGCTAAGGAAACAAATCTTGGAAATCCAGTTTGCTTCATAAAAATCTGTGCTGGAGAAAGCTCAGTTCCATGCTATTTTCACAGTATCCTCTTCCAGTGGCCAGCTTCTGTCTGAGTAACCTTTTTTTTGTGTGTGTGGTTATGCAGATATATTACTCTATCACAATACAATTCAATTAGAGATATAAAAGGTTAGAGGAAAAAGTGACAATTCCATTTATTTTGACTGCGTCTACTGAGAATCACATACTTCTTTATTATTTTGAAGCAACTGTAAGAAGATTTCATTGCTCTCTGGAAGACACTAAAAGTGTAATAAAATGAAATAAAAAGGCATTTATATTCCATGTCATTCCCTCCAAAATTGTGCTGGAAACTCCTTTGTGTTAGGTATTTTTAAGACTGACATGGTTATTTCAGATTTTCAATACTTTTCTGGTCCAGAAAGGGGAATGTTAAAAAAAATCCAACAAAAAAATTGTTTGTATAGACAAGTAATACAGTATTTTAGAATGGAAATGGAAATTACTCTGCACTGGCTTACTATACCCTGTTTATCATTTTGTACTACAGGTGATGCAGCTGTTCAATGGTAACTAGAAGAAAGGCTTTAATATTTCGGATTGCTAGGCACAAAATACTCTATTTATGTGCCTGCTGTTATGACTCGTTAAAGGCAAGGAAAAACTTTACAACTAGAAAACAAAAGTTTCTCCTAAATTAATACTTTTGAGATTAAATGGGAAAAATAACTTCAGGTAGTCATCTGTTCTCTGTCACTGCATGAAATCAGACTAAAGCACTGCATCACTTTTGCGGTCAGAGAGTCCCTTTTGGTTATCTTTTTCCCTATAAAATAATTCAAGATTATGCTTGTATTTTTACTTCAGTAGTCTATCTGAACATACATGAAACTCTCCTAAATTGCCTCTCAGTACAAGAAGGACACCGAGTTGCTGGAGCGTGTCCAGAGAAGGGCAACGAAGCTGGTGAGGCGTCTGGAGCACAAGTCTTCTGAGGAGCAGCTGAGGGAACTGGGGTTGTTCAGTCTGGAGAAGAGGAGGCTGAGGGGAGACCTCATCGCTCTCTACAACTACCTGAAAGGGGGTTGTGGTGAGGTGGGTGTTGGTCTCTTCTCCCAACTAACTAGTGATAGGATGAGAAGAAATGGCCTCAAGTTGCACCAGGGGAGGTTTAGATTGGCTAGTAGGAAAAATTTCTTTGCGGAGAGAGTGGTCAAGCATTGGACTAGGCTGCCCAGGGAGGTGGTGGAGTCACCATCACTGGGAGTGTTTAAAAAACGTGTGGATGTGGCACTTCGGGACATGGTTTCATGGACATGGTGGTGTTGGGATGATGGTTGGACTTGATGATCTTAAAGGTCTTTTCCAACCTTAATGATTCTGTGATCCTTTAAATTAGGCAACCAAAGCAAACAACAAAATTCTCTAAGTCACCCTGAAACGTATTAGAAATTATTTTTTCACGTGCTGCTGTCGATCCCATCGTGATCACTTACAAGCACAAGGATAAGGTTGATAAGGTGGTTCTTTCTTAAACAGTTCAGTTTGCAAAATAAGTTTCATGGTCTCCCCACCTAGCATAGCAAGCTTGTATTTTCCTCATTGCTGGACAACGTCTATCAGCACGTTTGTTCTCTGTCTTTGGTGCTGTTTGTCAGGGTCCAGAGGCAGAGAGGAGCCATGATTAGCCCAGCAGACTGCTGCATCCTTACACCCAGCCCTGCAAATGCCTGAGCTAACCCCCAAAGCACTGGAAGTGGGACGGCCACATCTGTGCGGCTCTGCGGAAGGCGGGAGAGATCGGCCCGGGCACGGTGCCACACCAGGCTGATTGCTGTCAGGCCCTGAGTTAATGTTTCTGCAGGGTGCTGAACCATGCCCCACGGGGACACCGGCTGGCTTTGAGCTGCCACAGGGGTTTTGTGAGCGGCCGCCGGACTGAAGGCGTGAGGAGCGGGAGGCTCGGCGCTGCCTCTCTGATAGCTCCTCGGGTGACCAAAGGCATTTCACGTTTCTGTGCCTCGGTTTTCCCAGTGTGAACCGGGGAGGGTGTTTCTGACTCCTTGGTAGGAGAGGTTACTCCCAAAGGTGCTCTGCAGACATGGAGGGTGTTAGCGATGTATGTCAACAATGACGTAGTGACTGTTAAAGCTAAGTTAAAGTGTAATAGCAAAGCCAGAGTGTAAGGTTACCTTCACAATAACAATTTTTCCTGCTGCTTTATTCTGCCTTTTGCATTGGGCTTTGAGCACAGTTGCTGCAGCAGGCATTACACTCCCTTTGAAGTGTGATCTGTTTTTCCT